TGGCCATAACTTCCTGAGTGATTTCCAGTTCGCTACCCAGTGTTGATTCGAATTGGCCAATCAGAAGTTACTGGAAGCCACTGGACATCACTGGAATTTCCATTCTAGTGGCGAAAAATCTTCACTGGAATGGTCCAGTGACATTCAACCACTGGAAGCCCAATTTCATCCAGTTAAGTCCAGTAACCTTCCAGCTCCGCCGGAACGTTCCAGGGAGCAACATTGCTATTAACAACCTTAACAATACCTGACATAGCTATTAATTAGTATATCGAGAGACCCAATTACACAAGTGCATGATTACATCAAACGTCAAGAGCCACGTCAAATGTCAAGAGTTATGTCAAATGTCAAGTATCACATCAAACATCAGGAGTCACGTCAAACGTTAATGGTTACATGTTATACTAGCATACTACAGCATATACGGCATACTACAGCATATACGGCATACTACAGCATATACGGCATACTACAGCATATACGGCATACTACAGCATATATACGGCATACTACAGCATATACGGCATACTACAGCATATACGGCATACTACAGTATATACGGCATACTACAGTATATACATCAAACATCAGACGTCACGTCATTTACCATACGTCAATCTGACCCTGAGGTAGTACATCATCTACGTCATAGCCGTAGTGTCGTAGGTAGTAACTACCCTAAAAAATGTTTGCAACCTTAGTAACGACATGACAATTATTTCTCAACAATTAAACACTAATTGAGAACATCGGAAAGTAATATTAATTTAACGAACTATTTGCATGTGTATGGTACTTAAAAGTTTTTTTTTTAGCAACAAGTTGTTAGAGAAAAACTATTTTAGTAGTTTAACAACATTTAAGCGCTTCTAAAAGAAAACAAGATTTCAGACTTGGTTAAGTTGACTTAATTATAAGTTCAAAAGCCTGAAAAACTAGTCTTCTTTTAATAGTATTCGAATACAAACAAACAAACAAAAAGCTATTGCTTATAACTAGACTCAAAATGTTTTTATTCACTAACATGACTCAGCCTTTTCTTCTCTAAGCTTTCGACAGGAGTTTCGCCTTTCGCCAGAGTTTCGTCATTTTGCAAAGGGATTTCGTCTTTCGCCTTTGTTGGGTTTAGGTTTCGTCATTCGCCATTTGCGCATATGGATTCGTTTAACTATAGTCTGATGAGAACATTTTAGCATTTTAGCACTAAAAATTTTTTGTAAAAAAAAATTGGCTACCTTTATCCGTTATTTTTAAATCTGGTGACGATATTTACGAATTTATTCAATTATTTCAATTAATCATTAAAAAAAAACAACCAGACCTATGTTGCCAAATTGACCAATATCATCGGTAATTCTTTTACCTTATAGGACTTTTAACAACAACATTACCTCATAAATCTGTACTATTTTCAAATATTATTAGCAAGAATCATACGGCTAATAATTGATTCTTAGATTGATAAAAATGCTACCGTATTTACGCGAAATAACGCGCAGGGGTGAAATTACAAATTTTGACCTAAATTAAGCTTAATCCGGGCCATTATTCTAAATAACGCCCCTGTGCGTTATTTCGAGTAATTATGGTATTACATATATACCATATCAAAATAATCCATATGAATTCAAATTAATTCTCCGTGGCAGAAATAGAATTGTAATACATTTTGAAATTTGTGATACATAATCGGAAAACTTTGTTATAAAAACCAAAAACAGATGAAATTCTTGGTAGATACAATTTTATTGGTGGGATAAAGCTGTGAAGAAAGTATTATTTTTTATTAAAAAAATTATATTTGCAACATAGCATTAATATATATATATATATAATGACTATAATGACAAATCATACATTGAATAAAATATTTAACAATACTGTAAAAAAATGCTTCAGTAAATATACAGCACTAGTACATGTTATATTCTTTAATCACTCTTGATTAGGGATGGGAAAATCGAGGATTTCTTAAATCTACTGCGCAAGCTGCGCAGCCTACACAGGTCTGCATTATAGTAATTTACTGCTAATGCGGGCCAGAATTGTTCATTTCCGAAACATTCCAAACTTCCGAATTGATATATCGACTTATCGTCAGTTGTACAAATCATCTGATTTAAAGTGTAAAAAGATCTTTGTACGTACGTATTACTTACGTATATCAAAAAATGATATACAGTACTGTATGAGAGTTTGGAGCTGCAACGAGGATCTTAAAAGATGAAATTAAATACAAGCTAAACTTTTTAATGCTAGTACTTTATGTATCACATGAGAAAATTAAATGCTTCCAATTTAGGTAAAATTTTCGTAACAAGTAATATAGACAATCAAATTGTTCGAATCATTAAAATTACATGCAAATTAAATTATTTTGATGTAATAGTTGCACATGTGATAGTATACGGCGGCAACCTAAGAGTATTGTATTTAGAAATGAAAATTTAAGTGAAACAATTAGTAATTATTAAAATTTCTTAGAAGTAGCCTAAATTTAGTATTACTGGTAAAGGTAAGGGTAATTACAAATGTTACGTAATATTTTTTTATATAGATATTTCAATTATAATTAATGTTTTTTTTAATATCCTTCAACCTCAAAATATTACGTAGTATTTGTCACTACCTTAACATTTGTACTATATTGTATATGATTAGGACATTAATAAGTAAAACATATTTAGCATGTGACTGCGCATTTGCCCATCTCAATATGTGATACTTTAACAACCGTTGAATAGTTTGTACAGTAATTTGATTTGAATTTCGGAGAATATAGACACCTTTAAATTGCTATTTATGCATAGAATTATTGACAACAAATTGAGATATGAATGAATACAAATCTTAAATACTTTAAATACAAAAAGGCGAAAATGGAAAATGAATAATTTATGCAACATAAATTTGAAAGTAAATTTGAAAATAAATTTGAAAACAAGAATAATATAAAAAAAACTATGTAGTTAATAATACTGTATTTATAACTAAAAAACAGATAATATATGACATTAAAACTAATTGATACTACAATTCAAATAATTACTTATTTTGTTCTTTCTCTAACGCATCATACTTTTTCATGATTGCGCTGCTGTTATTAAAAACTTCCAAGGGCGTAACCGGCTTATCAGGTTTACGCCAAGTATGCGGAAGTCTTTCATGTTTTAAAAATGTTTCCAACAGAGCACTATCAATTTCAAAATTAGTATTACCACCCATAACATTTACCAACATTGCACCTTCAGCGCCCGAAAGAATCTTTTGCATAAATCCATAGGTGAGTTCAGGATTATGTTCTTTTGAATGATTTAGTTGAACTTGACGATGTTTTGCTAATGAATCAAGGGTTATTTTTCCATCAATTTGTTGATCAAGTAATTTATCAACTAATTCGTTATCAACTTTGAGTGGATCGCCAAAATATTTATCTTTTCGAGTTAGAGAAGCATCATGCTCTAAAGCATTATGTTTTGATATTTCTTCCAAGTTGCTTTAAAAATAAAATATAATAAAATATAAAATATAAATGTAAGTGATGTATATTAAATATCTCAATAAACACAATAATACAATAGCACAATAATATAAAATATAGTAATTTTTACGTACTATGACTTTTGAAATAATAATCCATTCGTAACCACAGCATTATATGTGGAAACAGTAGCAAGAACGCCTGATAGATTGTATGCATCTTGAACTGCTTTAATTAGTTGTTGAGATGTAATGTTTTCACCATCTCGAGGCCTAATTATTGACTAGTTATTAAAAGTATTCTAAGGGGAAAAAATAATAATTAAATTGAATAAAATTGAGTACTTACAAATATCCATGATTAGCTAAAGTATTTAATGCAGGACATGCCGACCTTTTATCACCTGGTCCTGGTGCTTGCCATTCGTGTGCTGACATTTTAAAGAAAAGAAAAGAAATATAAAATTTTTCCCTATGTTAATTCATGCAAAGTATATGTGAATTTATAGCATTTTTAGATGTTTATTGTTATTGTCACGATGCTTGATTCATGACTTTCTATGTTTGGATTTATTTTTCTGTATAACTAAATTTAGTTAATAGAGTGTAAAAATGGTAAGCGCAGAAAAACTAAATGGAACCTTTCACAAAGCAAACTTTATTCTTTAATTTGCATTATTAAAAAAGTTAATTTTGAACAAGTTAAGATACCGTGTGTTGAAGAAAGCTGCGCGCATTTTTTTATATAAAATAATTTGAAATATAATTTGAAATTAAAATAATCATGCGCATATCGTTAATATAAATAACAGAATTTTAATCAATTTGATCTATACCGTTTATATGATATAAGCTGTGAAACTTTATAGATACACAGTACGATTAGATTTCTTTGGGGTTGTTTATCGTTACGTTGATAGTTTTCAATATTTAAACTAGTACAACGTTATAGATATGCCAAATTCATCTGTAGTGCGTGCGTAAGTACGTAATCAAATACAACGTTATTATGAGTTACGTATTATGGTTATTATGGATTATTATAAGTTACTTGGAATTTCACGTGAAAAATAATTATTAGATCTCTTCACATTGAGTCTATTACTGTTACTATTTGCTCACAATTTTTCTATGAAATTTGAGCCCAGTTTCTCCGCTTATTCCGCCTATTCCGCCCATGTGGCTTCAAATGTTTATAATCTACTAATACTATGAAAATTTGCAGTGTAACGGTATGGTAATACAGGTAATATTTGTCGTTCTGAAACTATCACATGTTAAAATTAAACCCCTGAAATTGGATGATGTCTGACGAAACTCACGTAACCTGACGAAATTATATAGTTTCGTCAGGCATTTACAGTATAACACTTTATACCTGTTTAATATAAATCCTACCTCTAAACTGACCCCTAACCCTAAAAAATGCCATAAAAATGCACCCCAAAATTTGTATTTGTTTGTGGCTTATCTACTTTACAATATCTCCATTCCATTTTAATCCATTCCCAAAAATAGTATTTACTAATCTTGAATTAACTAATGAAGGCAAATACAGAATCCTAAAAAATTTGCCAAATTTTTTAACATTACACAGTACATGCCACAGGATTTAATAATATTAACTCGTGGCTTAAAAAACATAGTCTTGACTCGAGCTAGTTCGAGTTAAGATAATGATTTTTAAGTCACGAGTTGACTCGAACCCAAACACTGGATTATACTAAATTCTGGCTCAACTAAAGAATTTTCACTCAATTGTCTTACTAAGCATCTATACTTTTAAATTTTCATTTATTTTCTTATTAATATTCTTTTAAATTCTCATTTATATGTTCTTATTAATATTCTTGGATTCTATTTTTTGCACTGCAAGATTATATAATTTATACTTGCATATCCTTATTACTAAAATATAAACTGTATTTTCATGTAATAACGCCCATCTGTGTACTATTTTAAATACATGTGCATTAAAATACATGCATGTACGTACGTACGCACGTGATTTTAAGACAAAGGCTGATTGTCAAACTGGCAGACGAATTTTCCTTTATATATTGGTTATTTTGAATCCGTCTACTCTATTTTTAGGATTGATTTTTAGATAACATTCATTCTTATTTCAAGATAATATTATTTCAGAATATTCTTTTAGATTACTGAATATTTACGTAATTTAATTCTTACAACATCCACTAAAATTTTGTGGCTCAATCCACTAGTTGATTTAATAAATCACTTATACCAAAATTTTCATTGATATCATAAATAGATTTTTAGAATTTAGGCTATAATTGACAGAAAATTACTGAATTTTGATATTGGGCATTTAAATCACAGCAGAATTACATTTGAGATATATTGCTGCAATATCAAATATATTGCGACAATACAGTATTTCGTAAGTAAATTTTACTGCCAACTATAACTTTATAACTGCTATGTATGAATATGCAATGTAATGGTAATGATGATGTATTGTACGTACGTATGTCTTACGTACGTACGTACGTACGTATATTCGTATCAAATTTCTGATATATATTAGATTATGCAATTAATTCTACACGTAAAATTTTTCTAGAAGAGAATTTGATTCTTTTAAAAAGAAATTGTTTTTGATATCACTGTTGCTGTACATTTAAATACAAAATCCAAATGCAATAGATGCAATGCTGAGATAAAGAGCTTCATTTTTGCTTTTTTTGTTAATTTCCTGCTGGATTCAAGAATATATTTCTGCATAATAATTACTGATAATCTTCAAAACCAAGACTTGATACTGTAATATGATGTAAAATTAACAATAAATAGTATTCTATAAAAAAAATAAAGCTTAAAACAAAGTCAAGAACCAATGAAATGGTCCATTAAAAATCCAAAGCTAATCAATATTGCTTTAATTGGTAATCTATATGTATTAATATAAGCAACTAGTATTTGGAACTGGTTTTATATTACATACGATAAACCTGATCTTAATCGGTTTAGATAAAAGGCCAATTTAACTCCAACGGCGTACGGGGAGGCAATTCAAATCTAAGAAACTAGAATATTTGAAACCAAATTCGGTCCCTAAAATAAATTGTTGTCTCTCTCTCTCTCTCTCTCTCTCTCTCTCTCTCTCTCTTGCTATGTGAAAATAAAGTCAGTTCTAAGCTCTAAGTAACATATTATTATTTGTATAGTAAACTAATCACTAAATTGGCTCGTAAGTTTATAAGTTATTTTTAACATTTCTGCATTTTTAACGTTTACATCCAAATTTTACGAACCAAAATTTTTTATTCAAAAAATTTGTGAATTTAATAGAGTTTTATTTGGTGATATGATCCAAAACTCGGTAAAACAAAACTATTATTGCCCGATTAAAGCTTTATCAAATTATTTGTGTAGGAAACACATACGGGAATGGTCTCGCTCGAGCATAGCACTTGTACTTAACATAAACTATAATATCTATTCAGTTCTTTTCTGGAAACAGATTTTTAGTTAAAATCTTCGATTACTTGAATTGCACTGTTTATCGTAATTATTGATTCACTTGAAAAAAAATTTTTGAACTACAATATTTAGAAACCTAATAAATGCATATCTTTGAATTTTAAATATTACATGTCAAATTTGAATATCAGTCTATATATAATTTTGTGAAAATTTTTAAATTACAGTAATTGATTTTTTTTATGGGCAATATTTCTGACATATGAGTGTCGCTAAAAGAAAGCCCGAAAATTTAAATATGACTTATATTTAAATTTTCAGGTTTTCTTTTATCGACACTCATATATAAGTAAAAATAACTATATAATTAAAATTTATAAATTAGGATTTTATCTGTGATATACTTTAATGCGCATTATTATTTAGCGTACTAGTGTTTGGCAGGAGAAATTGTTTTTGGCAAATGACGGAAGAAGAAACCAGGCAAAACTTTGGCGAAACGGCGAAACCTCAAACTCTGGCGAAATGGCGAAACCCCTGGTAAAGTTGAAACTCCTAGGGAAAGTCAAAACTCGGCGAAGATCAACCCTCAAAGACTTTAGAAAAGTTTGAGGCATGTTAGTAAATCAAAATATTTTGCATGTGGCCATTAAGCACAGCTAGGGATGGGTCCGGTTACAGTTATAACAGTTTAGCCGCGGATCAGCTCGGATCAGCCCGATAAAACCCACCAGGAGTCTAGACACTTTTGCAGTAACGTGATGTGGCGCATGAGAAAGGGCCAATCGGGATGCGCAAATTTTGATCAGTCCGACGTAAAAACAAAACACGTGCAAGAAGAAAAAAAGAGAAAAAAGCGAAAATACTCAAAAACAAGTGTTTAAATCGGCCTTTTGTCACTAACAAAAAATGTCGGAAATGTAATTTTACAAATGGGGAAGATCTTTCAAGGCCTATAACCACGAACCCTAACCGAAATACAACATAAAGCCAAAAAAGCTTATCCGAATGTGCCACATCACGTTACTGCAAAAGTGTCTAGACTCCTGGCGGAGTCGCCCAATAAGACGGAAGATAATAATAAACACGTTTTTTTATTTTCGGTCATAACCGGTCGATCATCAATAACCGACCAATGACCAACCGTGACCGACCGAACCTAACCTTAAGCACAGCATGTTACGGTAATAAATGGGCTAATTAAACAAATTTATGTCAGATGGCTATAGTATTTAAGATATTGGAGATTTTTCATGTTACACAAATAAAGATCAATTTTTTAATAATATTTTACACTCTATTATAGTAATATATATTGATATCGATATATGTATATATGTATTAAAAGTCGACCTATTTTAAAATGATTCAACTCGTTATAGAGAAATTGAATTATTTTTAAATTTTCTCAATTTGCTTATAAAGTGTTGAAAAATAAAGTTACATTCAAAAATTCCTTATTGATATATAAAATTTGAAACTTTGACTAATAGGATATATTAAAATTTTATGAAAAAAAATAAAATTATATTTGAATGTTTAGATCAAGACTTTCTTAAAAACTTAGTAAAAATCAAATGTAATTATTTTAAAATAATTCTTACAAATAGTTTTCAGTTAAGAAAAATTGGAGAAATAAGTGTAATAGTTGTGTGAATTCTCTTTAGAATTTTGCACCTTTTTAATATAATTTAAAAAAATCTAATAATAATTTAATTTTTTATGATAAAAATTTGATCATAGTAAAATAATCAACATATCTGACATAGTTTTCATTATTTAGTTTATTTATTACCCTAACAGTATATATTATATTTAAAAATATATAACAACAACAAGCAAAATAACCTTTCACTGTATTCAAGTTTGATTAAAGAAAACTAAATTTTTAGAAACTTTGAAGTAAGAAAATTAAGATTTGAAAATTCAAAGTCTAAAATCTTGTTTTTTTTTTAGTAACATTATCTATATATTATATAAATAAACCTATCTAAATATTTTTTGTTAAATTGTTAAGATTTTCTTTTTAGTATTTTATTGTTAAAACTTTATTTAAGTACTATATATATGTATATAAATAGTTTATTAATTTGGTTTAGGCCACAGATAATCTAATCTAAGTTTTTTTTTGTTATTTTAGAATATAGAGTTTAAATATATTCTTTTATAGATGTAGCAACTTAGAGTTGTGGTTAAGTTGCCACCTTCAAGTGGCAGGTCTAGAATTTAAATCCTATTAGAGATGTTTTTAGAAAAAAAAACCTATGTACTGATAACATTTATTCAACAATCAGTAGATATATTATCTGTAATATTAGTACTACAATCTCAAAATAGAAGATTTAAGTGATCCAAATTCAAGGAATCAGAATATTTGAAATCTGTTTGACAAGACTCAATCAAAAGGTAGTAACAATCTTTGATAATACTATAAAAAAGCCAGAACTAAAGACTGAAGAATCAGATAAAAACCTTAGAGAAAGAAGAGTCTACTAACCTGACCGCAGAAGTTGTACCAAAAGAAAAAGTTTTATATTACAGAATTAGAAACTAAAAGAAGTAAAACCAGAAAACACTTAAAGTTTAGCTACAATAACTTATTTAGACTAACCAGTTTGGTAATTAGAAGAAATTGATATAAGAACTGACTAGATATATGTATTAGGATTAGAATGAACTTTATAAGAATACAAATACTAAAATTGTGCAGTTTAATAATTAGCTTTAACTGCTAGTAGTGGTTTCAGCTATTGTAAAAGATATTCAAAGCCTAATTTAAAAATAGAAAAATTAGTGGAGTATATACTATACCTTCTCTAAAATAACCTAATAATATGAGAACTCTATTAGATTATCTTTAGAATTGGAATACAAGTGGTTGATCAGAATAGTTTTTAATTGGAATTATGAGCCAGTGTGATTGTAGTAGTGATATAAAATAAGGAACATCAGATAATTTAAATAGGTAATCTTCTAGTTAGGTTACAGATATAGTATATAGTATAGAAATTTTAGATGGACTACTTAAATAAGCAATTAAAAGTTGCATATATAGCTAAATATACTCTTATTAACCAAGAATATATTACTAAAATATTTATTAAAATCTGCCTAATCACAATATTGTGAAGGTAAAAAATATATATATTCTTTTTATTGTAAGAGAATTAAGTTAAAATTTTAATAAAAATAGAAATATAGTCTCACTATTAATATTAAAAAAAAGTAGTTTATTAATACTAAAAATAGGTAAATTAAAGATTTTTAAATTTATGCAGACTATGCAGTCTGCACAGATCTATATTATAGAGTTTTCTGTTAATATGAAGCATATTCTAAATATTTAAAAATTCTATGTCTATCCTTAGTTAATAATAATATTATTAGTAATTATTTTCTAATACTTAATTTATTTAACTTTAAATCTTGAGTATTAATTTTTTATATCTATATAATATATAAATCAAAATAAATTTAAATAAAATAAAAAAATTAAATATAGTTTAAAATTAGAAAATGTAATCAAGAGTGTGGCAACTTAGTATAGTTAGTAAGTTGTTGCACTCCAAGCAGCAGAACAAGAGTTCAAATCCCACTATTGACAAAATTTAAATTTATAAAATGCATTAGAATGATAGTAATCTGTTAGGTCTGTATCTTTAATATAGCTATACCAGCTAGTATTGGGAGTTGTAAACTATAGTGTAATGTATAAATTATATAAAACTCAAAAAAAGCAGTTATATAAAACAATAGATTAAAAAATATAGAAGCCTGCTTGGCAAGACCCAAGTAAAAAGATAGCACAAAACTTTATAGTACTGTATAAATAATTATTATTTAAGAAATGTGTTATTAACAACTCTATCAACCAAACTGCAAGATAGAAGTAACTGAAAAAAAGGAACTTACTGTAGAGATTAGAAGCAGGTTACAGCCTTTTTGAACCATCTAAATTAGAAGTTGAAAATTACTAGAGGTATAGTAAGTAGTTTGTAAAATGTGTACTAGGGTTTAAGTAACTTTACAAAAGCAAAAGTAAGTAATAGTATTTAAATAGATAACACCTATAGTTTGAGTTATTTTTTTATTTTTTTTTAACTAGCCTCTTTGGTATAGGGGTTTTTATTCAAGTATATCAGTCAGGGATATTACCAAAAATAGATGATATCGATCACACTATTTATAGTAATCAAATATCAATCATATAATTCTAGAGTTTCTGAGAGAACATTCATATAATTGGCTAATTAATATACAGAAATACAAATTACAAAATTAACTTACTGCAGTACCTTTTTATTTTAAATATTATACTATTTGAATTCTTCTGATCTTTTAATGCAGTAATAAAAGATACCAAATAGCATAAGGCTGACTTCAAGCAATATTGCTTTGAAATATACAATGTTTGCCTGTCAGAATTTCAACACCATGACTGAATTATATAGGCAAAAATATTGTATATCTGACTTTAAAGCATTTTATTTTCAAGAATTAAGTCACCAATATTTGCATTCTGATAATATTTTGCAAGATAATTTACACAATGCATACATTATTTATTTGGGTCTTTCTGTATTATCTGATACCTCTGATATTGAACAAGAAGATTAAAATCAATAGCATTATTCTATATAGTTTAAGTGGTTTTATAAGAAAATTCATCCTTTAAACAGCCAACATTTACAACCTTGGTATTATTATAACAAAGATAACAATAGGAAGAATATATATATAGTGAGTTTTTTTGATTCTAAACTTTCAAAATTACTGAATCATCTAAATAATATATATAATAATAAATTGATTAAATGTCAGAAAGATAATGGATGCGTTAAAATCAAAAACTATTAACAAAAGAAAACATTAGCCAAAGGAGTGGGTCTATTAAGATCATTAATGATTAATATTACAAGATTAATCAATTACAAAATTATATTTATAAAAGTTGTATAATTTGTAATTTTATATTTTTTATTGAATTTATATTTTATTTAAATAAAAAATATATTTAACTCATTTAAAAAATTATATAGCTTTTTAAAAATTTCTATGCAGTTATTATTTATTATTATAATTATTTTTTATTTATTTATTTTATTTATTTATTTTTTTGTTTTTTTAAAAAACTTTTGGCAGATTGCTATAATGCACTATATAGCATATATTTATACTTCTCTCTTTATCACAAAACTTATATATACACATCTATTGTGACAACTTCTCTACAATACAAATATTTAAAAACCTGCTTTATTATTATCTCATAAAAATTAAAACTAAAACTAAAATTATCTGCATATCATTAATAATCTTTTTCAAAAGAAAAATATAACTTTTACTATGCACAAAGTCAAAGCACATTCTAGAAATGCCCTAAATAAAAATACAGATATTTTTGCCAAAAGAGATACAAACAAATGAACTATTAAGCTTAATTGGGACTAACTCATAACTCTACTCTTTTTCTTATAGCACAATTATCTTACCGGCCAAACTCAGACAAACCCCAAACCTCCAAAAAACAAATTGCTTTTGTAAAAAATTAAATTAAAAAAAATAATTTTAACATTTTGTAAATATATTGTATATAACTATAAGATTATATATTATTTGTTTAAATAAAGATTATTAACAAAGTTTTTGAGATAATAGTTTGGGCTTAAGTTTGGGATTTGGGTACAGACAAACCCAAACTATAATAGTTTGAGATTTGGGTAGCAAGTATAGATACAATACTCCACTTACCTCACAAACTCATAAATTTACTAAATATCTAATCTTTATTACAACCCTTAACAAATTTCTTTAACTTAAAAACATTCATAATATTCATTAATTTAATATCAAAACTTTTATAAACACTATTAACTCTAACAACTACAAATCTAACCTATACTCCTTTCATATTGTATCTTACTAAGTGAATTAAAGGCCTAAGACATATTAGTATATTAAATAAATTTTGAAAATTCATATTAAATACAACAAAACTAGTAATATTATGAAATATAACCATATTAAGTTCCTGATCCAAATAATTTTTTTGTCTCCATTATTTATTATTGAATGCTAAAAATAGAAGACCTTTTGGTAAAATCTTCTCTTTTTCACATAATTCATTTAGCTAATTCTGAAAACTAGAATAACTTCCAAGTTTGTAATGTAATTATCAATACTAATAATAGTTTTTGACTAGATGATAGAATATTTTATGGCTGATGCTATGAGATCCACTTCTGATATATATTTTCTATGCCTAAACCCGTATTCTAAATTAACAACCATAGCCTTTTTAAAAGTTTTTTAGTACTTTCAAACTTATATCAAAATTATTATTAGGCTATACGAATTAAATTAATTGATTCTTGACATATAGAACAAACAAATAGGACCCAGCTGGCCAGCAAAAAATGTTATTTTAAAAAATTTTTTATATAAAAAATTTTTATAAATTTTTTTTCATACAAGAATAAAAAAATTTTATATAGAAAAAAATTTTAACTTCTTTAAAAAAGTGACCTGGCCGGGTGATGAAAATCAATTTTATTAGTTTGCATGGCCTTAGTTAGTATTTTAATAAATTTTATAATAACCAGATTATATTGACTTAGCCATAATTGTGAAGTATAGTTTAATAGATTTTCTAAAGAAAATCTATTATTATTTCTAATAAGAGCCTCAATATTGTCATATAACAATTCTCATTTAATTAGTGCTATATCAAAGGTTGAGTAGAAATGCTGGTATAATAGACTTGAGTTTAATATCAAGAATTTGAGATAAACAAGTTCTATAAATTAAAGCATTTTTAAAGATAATAGTAGCTGTATAATCTGGTGTATGGTTTTGTTGATCTTCAGTAATTACGCAAAGAATATTTTTGACTTTGCAAATAATATAAGTATAGTAGTGATGTGAGTGAGCAATAATAGCTATAGGTGTACAATCAGTTTTAAAGTTGTGAAAAGAACGTGTGGATTGGCTTGAGATGAGTAGATATATTTGAAATTTTATTAATAGATGAAGCAAGTAATTCATCAGTTTTTTTAAAACTATTAGCAAAAAATGTAGATTTAGTTTTAGTTGTGTTTGAGTTTGATCCATTGTTTTAGAGTGATTGACTTTGTAAAATCAAGAAGTAAAACTTGTGTGGTATTTACAGTAGAAATTGCAGGTTATAGAGAAACTTTAAAGTAGTGTTGTTGTTTTTTATTGTCATATTAATCAGGTTTTGTATTAACAGGAAAAACACAGAGTGCTTAAAACTTACT